TATATATATATATATATATATATATATATATATATATATATATATATATATATATATATATATATATATATATATATATATATATATATATATATATATATATATATATATATATATATATATATATATATATATATATATATATATATATATATATATATATATATATATATATATATATATATATATATATATATATATATATATATATATATATATATATATATATATATATATATATATATATATATATATATATATATATATATATATATATATATATATATATATATATATATATATATATATATATATATATATATATATATATATATATATATATATATATATATATATATATATATATATATATATATATATATATATATATATATATATATATATATATATATATATATATATATATATATATATATATATATATATATATATATATATATATATATATATATATATATATATATATATATATATATATATATATATATATATATATATATATATATATTTTTTTTTTTTTTTTTTTTTTTTTATGTAAGTACATTGTAGTTAGGGACACTTAATATAAATTAGGACCAAAAAAGAAAACTCATCACCACTTTATTGTCACTTATTTTCTCAGACTGGTCGCAGCGTGTCAGTGCGCCACACTGTGAAAAGGCAGACCCAAAACAGCCAGTGGGACTCTCGGATGTCTTGGAATGCTCAGTCTAAGCCCAATGGGATGAAGCTCAGTGGCAGCGACCCTTCCTTAAATAAGATAGCTACCCAGAATTCTGTGGAAAGAGTCGCTACCATACGACAGAATCGTTCTGTACAATCTATGAAAGTGAAGAATTCTCCTCCGGTTGCTGCCAACCAAGCACAGACAATCACAAAAGTCATCAAGACCAAATCAGAAGCGCCGGGGTGAGTGTGCAGAAAATGCATGTTGTGGTTTGTTTACGGTTTTTTTGTTCTTGGTCACAGTTTTCTTATGAATTTGTCACTTTACCTGTGTGTCTCTGCCATATCTCTGAACTTAAAGTGTGAATGGAGCCATGGGAGTGATGCCCAACATCACTCTGCAGGAAGCAGTGGATTATCTGACACACGAAGACATCAGTCATCAGCTGTGTGGAGCTTCATTCATACAGCACAACACCTTCACAGAGGACACGGCCAAACAAGAGGTCAGGACACTGACTCGTGTAGCTGAAGCAAGACTATAGTATCTATTAAACTTGTTCATGTTTTGTCTATCTTTCTCTGTCAGTCTGTTTTGTTTTCTGAGATTTTTTTTATTTATTAATTTATTTTTTATTTATTTTATGTATTTATTTATTTGTAAAGATTATTTGTACAAACATATATATATATATATATAAAATATAAAT